TGAGGAGAGGAAGATTAGCTTAATCAATTGGAATGATCTTTACCAACTAACTAGCCGTGCTAAGAGTGGCCTAAAAAAACTTGATTTACAAAATAAGGCATTCGTGATGAAGATTAGTTTCAAATTGGCAACTAAACTTGAACAACTATGGGTGAAAATCTTAAGGAAGAATTATAGGTGGGATGATTTGAATAGTTCAAACAATAACAACCAGAATGGTTCCCTCTCTAGCAAAACATTAAGAAAATGTGAGTTGATGTGAAAATTGGGTCTCGGTAGGAGATTGGTAATAGTAGGAAGGTTCACTTTGGAAGGATAATTGGCTTCATAATGTAGACCCTCTGAAGTTGCTTACTACTTAGGAAATGTCTAAGGAAGAGCTTGCTCTTTTATTCTATAATTTTGTGGGTTTTGATAGTTACTGGAACTAGGATCTCTTTATGAGGGACCTCCTCAATTAGGTTCTTTCTTTCATTACATGTATGAAGGCTCCCAGTTTTGATGATGGCAATGCACACTATTTCTGAGATTGAAGTCTCAATAGAGTTTTCTTAATGTGCTCATTATATGAAATAATTAGAGGGGACAATTGGAATGAATAAGATAAAGCATGAGATGTAATGCATGGTGCACGAGTCTTCCTTTAGCTTGTAATGCATGGTGTATTGTTAACAAATGCTAAAAGGGTCTGATGACACATGGCTATTGTAACATCTGAAAAATTTTAACCTTGATTTATTAACCTAATTAGGGTAGTTAGTGAGTTAATAATGTCTGTGGGCAGAGGGGCTTAACTTGGTATAATTTTTATGATTTCAGCCCTAGAAGTGGGTTCGAATTGATGGCAGGTCACCCGAGTAAGGAAAGAGGATGAAAAAGTGAAGAATTATTTTCTGTGCCACATGTTGTGGTGCGTGGTTGGTTCACCATAGCACACGAAGACAATTTAAACATAACGAGCTCCTTTGTACCATGCACCGCGATAGAGGGCATTGTGCGCCGTGGCGCATGACCAAAAATAAGATAAATCAGTTCGTGAGCTATGTGAAACCAGAAGAGAAAAAGAGGAAGACAATGAAGAGCTCGATTTTAGCTCTACTAGGGCATGACATTTGGTTCCATTATTGATAGATTGAAGCTCCTAAACATTCAAGGTAAGATTATGGTGCCTTCTTCTTCCTTTCTCTCCCTCATTTATAATTGTTTATGGTAGGGTCTGAGTTGGGAGGTGGATTTTTGGTCCATAGGTGTATAGGTCCAATTCCATTAGTTAAAATAAGTTAAATGGGAGTTATTTAATATATTAGAACACTACATTGATGATCTTGAAAGTACTTGGTCCATGGGGGTATTAAATGTTTGAAAATTGATATTTATGAGGTAGTTGGGAGAGGTTAATATGCATTAATAATGGTTTGAAGTGTTATTAATGACAATATGCGTTAATGAAATCTAATAAGCCCATTGAGTAAGAATAGGTATTGATTATGAGTTGATAAAAATAATGTATGAGGAGTTTTATATTGATAAAGTTTCAAGAGCTAGAAAATGATGATATCCTTGTGATATGGTTGTAGAGAGGTTTGTCTTGACACCATTTGAGCTCGTTGAAGCTTTGGAAAGTTGATATAGTGAGGGGTAAACATTTGACCTCTCAAAAGTTTGAGGTAATCGGGAAAAACTTAATCTTTATAGTTAAATGTTAATTGTGTTTGTGAAATGTGATTTATGAGTTTAATTGATGATACATATTGGCAAAGTATTGATTTGTGAAATGATTTCTTTTGAAAGAAAACCTTGATTCTACCACCTTTGATGTTTTATGAAATTAATTGTGATTTATTATTAGAGGTGGAGAATTGTGATGAAATATGTGTTAAAGTGTGGAGCATTTGTGTTATGTGAGTTCATGTATTGAGAAATGATTGTTAAAATGCATATTATGTGTGAAATGTGCATAGCATGATTATTGGTGGGAGTTCGCTTAGAGAGAGGAGTAGATTGGTTGAAAATCCACGCGGTGTTAGCAATAACCATTGGAATCAAGAGGAAACCCTTGTCCTATGGTTGATTCAAGACTATTCTACTTGTTCTATGAGGGACTCAAACCTAATTAGTCTCCACCAGTTCATAAGGAGGCTAGATTAGAGGTACGACACCCCATGATTGTTAGTATTAGGGAAAACCGGATTATATAAGTGAGTGCGTTAACTCTGGCCTAGTAGCTCCTCACAAGTGAAAGGCTGGGTTAATCCGTGAAGGACGTAGCCACATGATAGCCATCGATTTCGTGTCGGAGGTAACAGGAGAATATAAAGTTGGCATATGGTCATGCACATAAGCCCGACCACATAGTTGTTAGTTTTGTGGTCTGGCACATGTGGAGGGTGCATGGTGGTTATTTTTGCAACCCTATGTTATGTTTTTGTGAAATAACATGATATGGTGTTTTGTGGCAAGCTTGATCACATGACTGTTAGTTTTATGAACCAAGGCCTAATGCTATGTGAAATATGTGTTTATGTGCCTGATTACATTTATTTACAATTAATATGCAACTATATAAGTTAAGTGAAACTTAGTTACTGAATGATTGTACTCACCCCTCAATTCTCAATATTTTTAGGACTTAGCTCATTAAATTCGAGTCGAGGAAAACATACAGAGGCTTAAGATTGGTGGAGTAAATCCTCTATATGTCTCTCTTTTGCTCTTTACATGTGTATTTGTTAATGCCTTTGTCAACTAGGAGTAGTTGTCATGATTGGTACACTACTTGCATGTTTTTGTATTTAACTAGTGTATTTTGTACCCTGGGTTAGTAAATTTTGTTTGTGAACTCGTGGATAGGGCCAAAATACTTGTGCAAGTAGGAACATATGTATTTTTGAGAAATATAAATGAAATGGTTGATTTTGTACAACTTTTCTTCCCCCTCTATGTTTTGTGAAAACCAAGGTTGAGTGGTGATTTTGTGAAATAAACATTATTTGTTGTGTGTGGTGTGTTGCATGAGTCGGCAAGAGTCCATTGAGTGTGGTCGAATGGTTTGTGTAAGCTATTGACACATGTGGTTGAGTTGGGACACCCATTTAGGAGATTTTGTGAAAATATGGAAGAAATGGGTTTCAGTGTCCAACTTCTTATAGAAAATGAATTTGAATGTGAAACATGTCATTAGCTAGAGCTAGGAGAAAGCTCAGTGTAGACACCGAAACCACCTCAATCGGAGTCGGATGGAGATTTAGGACACGTCGGAAGTTCGCTCCCTTTGCTATCAAATGACAGCACTGATCTGTCAAATTTCATGTAATGAGCCGTGCCGCATGGCGCCTCAAGTCGTGGCGCATGGCACAGAAAAGACACACCATGTCGCACGATCTGCAAGCCACGACTCATATGTCATTTCTGTACAGAACTTGTTTTTGAGTTTTAAAACTCATTATTTGGGTCCTAATTGATCTTCAAGTTTTTGCTTTATTTTTAAAACTCTGATTTGGAGTCTTTAAATTATGGTTGGGGTTTGAAGTGGCAAATTGAGATTCCTATGAAATAATTTTGAGAAATTCTTCTTTTAAAACCTTGGATAATTATGATTTAGAATTAATTGTGGTTTAACCTCAAGGAGGTTACAGCTACCAATATTGTGTGTGAAAGATGCAGGGGCCATTGCGAGACTATTAAGCATGTTCTACATCACTGCAACCTTGCTCGAGAAGTTTGGAGAAACCTCATACCTTCAAATAGTATAAACTGTTTCTAAAATGAACCTTTTGAATGATAGATGCTAAATAACCTGTAGGGCAATACTACTAATAACTCTATGAGAAGTATTTGGGCATCACTCTATAGACTTGCTTATTGGAAACTCTGGGAAGTAAGGAACAAATTTATTTCCAAACGAGTTAATACTCGAAGCGATCAATTGGCAATGAAAATTCAAATGCTTGTTGATATTAATATCCAGGAAAAAGAGACTTTTCAAAAAACTCATGATAGCGCTAGCACCAAAATTGACACAACTATTACTTAGAAGAAACCTCCTGCTAACTAGGTATCTTTAAACTATGATGGGTGGTCAAACATGAGAGTGGTAAGGCTGGGATAGGATGCATCATCTATGATTTTAACGGTGATTAGCTTTAAGGTTGTTGCAAAAATATTGGTTCATGCACGACTCTATAGGCTGAATTATGGGCTATCCTTGATGGATTAACAATGGCATGGCAGTCTAATTTTGCAAAGATCAAACTTGATGTGGATTGTTTGCTTGCTATACAACTTTTTTTCTCAAGAGAATACTTGTACAAATAGTTACAGTAGAATACTTAGACAGATTCATGCACTTTTGTAGAAAGACTAGCAAGTCAATGTTGAGCACATATATCATGTGGGAAATAACTGTGCTAGTTTTCTGGCATCCTTTGCTCCATCTTTAGAAGTTAGGAAGCATCACCTGGATTGACCTCCTGATGGCTTACACAGGTTACCGATGGATGCTATAATGGGCATTGGTTAGGCTCGGCTTTGTATTAGTAGATCCTAATATAGGGTCTCTCCTTTCTCAATAAAAAATTTAAGGCATATAATTATCATTAATGTTCTTGTGGGTCATTAATTGTCATTTTTCCCAATAATTATCATATTTTATAATACTTAATTATCATTTGGATATTTAAGGATTTTTTTTTTTTTGTCATTCTTCCTTAATTATGATTTGGAATTTAAGTGTATCTTGCATGTCAGAGCAAATAATACTTTTACATGTTAACGGTGGTTCAACAAAAATTATAGTATCAAAATTATCGTTTCTCGAACAACATGATATAAGAGTGCAGCCTCTCATACCACACTTCAAAATGGGGACCTGCCCCTTTTTTTTTTTTTTTTTGATAAGGTTCGAGTTTCGACGGCCAATTTACTTAAACTTTAAATTATAAAAAATGGTAAAAATGATGTAACATGCCAGAAAAGCCCCTGCCTCGGCCTTTTAGCATCGCATTTCATCCAAAAATTATTGTATTCTATGATTGTATCCGTTGAAGGCTTCCATCTCTTGCGAAATTTTCTGTTGCTTTATCCATAGCAGTAGAGAACGTCAATTCAACTTCCTGAAGAATTCGTACGGCGTAATCTGCGATAAATAAGGAAAAAGGAAAAAATGGGGGTCTCAAGGGTCTTTGCAAGGTCTCTGGGACGCTGCTTCTGTGATAATTCCAGACCCTATCTCACTCCCAGTCAGTCATTCCTGAGCTTCATAACTGTATCTCAGCAAATTGTTCCATGCAATTCCGATCGATGGCAGTTTCAGTATCAGAATCGAAGGACTTTCATTTTGGAGTCTTCTGGTTCTGAATTTGTTAAGCTTCAACGACTCGGTGACCTGGATTCCGGTAAGGTTCTCCGCCACAATCTCTGCGAGTGGCTCTCCAAGTCTATATTCAATGTCTAAAAATGAAACCGATGAATTACATTTCTATATTCCGTCCGGATTCACTTGAAAAGGATTCGTCTTGGTTTTTAATGGCGTTTCTTACTTCTGCGCAAGTCACTCTCTTGCGTTGTTCTTTACTACTCTTTGAACTTCATCAAGCTCGTATGCGTGTGTGCGTTAAAGGGACGGAGATATCCTCATTATCACAAAAACACAATCATTGGCTTCCAGCATCATTTTGAAATTCAGTTTACATGTCCATTTTAAAATCATTTCAACATTTTCTTACAGGGATTTTTGAAGTTAGCTTGGACAGGCCTGGAGCTAAAAATGCTATAGGGAAAGATATGCTGCGAGACCTGAGGCATGCATTAGAATTCATTGATCGAGAGCCATCTGCGAAGGTCGCTATGATCCGCAGCTCAGTTCCCGGGGTATTTTGTGCTGGGGCCGATTTAAAGGTAGTTCACGAAGTTTCATGTCCATCTTGGAAAGAAGTCTGGGTTCTTTGTTTTGTGATGCAATTCTTCTTCTAAACCTAGAATTACTTTAGTATTATATCTTAGTTATGCCCAATCAAAAAAATAGCTAAATTTCATTTAAATGCCTTTGCAACTGTAGATTTGGTTCTTGCTATGAGGCATGCTTGGTTAGATTTCCTTTTACTTGTATTCACTCAGCAGAGAAATCTGTGTCTGTGATTTTTATGTTTGCTGAATCACAGGAACGCCGGACAATGAATCTATCAGCGACCAAGGATTTTGTGAATTCTCTTCGCTCTTCATTCTCTTTTCTAGAGGTTAGTTCGCATTAATAGTTTGTTCTAGGAGTTACGCAGTTTTCAACTTTGTATAATGAATAGGTAGCAGATGACCCACCATGTGTATATTCAGGTTGACAGCACCTGAGGCAGCTCTGAAGCATGATTTTTCTAATTTTAGTTCCATTTCCTGTTTACATTCTTTGACAGTTCCATATTCAACAATTTTATGTTTGGCCATCCACATCTAGCATGCCAATGGTTTTACCCTTTTTTTTTAAATAATAATAACGTAGGTTTGTTTTCCTTTTATCTGTATTGATGAATATCTCTGTGGTGAAGAGCCTTTATATGTTGTCAGTCATGCTTTTTGGCTATTGCTTGAGTTGTAGTTTGTTTCATAGTTCATAGCATCTCTGTTTTCCCATCCTTTCTATCTTTGTTGACACTTGACAGCTCACTTGAAAAATAGCATTACTTGACTTTGTTTGAGTTTTATCCAGGCACTTTGTGTACCAACTATTGCCATTATTGAAGGAGTGGCATTTGGTGGTGGACTTGAAATGGCTCTAGCTTGTGATATTCGAATATGTGGTAGTTAAATGTGGAGCATCTTGATACGTTGACTCTTTATGGATTCTTGAGATGTGGTGCATCATATGAGTCCTAGACTTTGATTGTTTCTCTTTTGTGGCATAGGAGAAGATGCTCTCATGAGTTTGCCAGAGACAGGACTTGCTATAATCCCAGGGTATGCTGTGTTGCTGTGTATATACTATCTCTCTTCGCTTCTTCTATCCTTAACACTACCATTTGTAACTGTGTTAATCAGTTCTGCCATTTAATTATGGATGGAGATATGGCTGCAATTTTGATAGCAAAGCATACAGACCTAAAAATGGGGGAAATAATAAATCAAGGCTTGGTCGTTTCAATTTTTTTGTAAGGAAGAGAATTGTTTTTCATGAATAATTGACATGGTTAGCTGCTTCAAGTTATCCTTGAACCTTAATGCTACTGCCTTCTAAATGCACTAACAGCTAGTAAATGAGGGCTGCTTATACTTCCACAGCTGGCATTTTTATCATCTTTAAACCTCATGATTCTATCTCAGGAATTGCTGTGTTATCTTGGTCTATTGGGTTAAATTTAGGTGATAGCACATTTAACATTGCAGAAAAAATAGTTTGGGTGTTCTGAAATAGATTGGCTCTAATGGAATCCCGATTGCCACAGGGCAGGCGGGACACAACGACTCCCTAGATTGGTTGGGAAGGCAACAGCTAAGGATATTATATTCACTGGTCGAAAGATTAATAGCAAAGATGCACTGTCTATGGGTATGTAAATTAGGCATTAGGTTGATTTTATTCTCTAATTGGTAAATTTCTGATCAAATCATCAAATACTAATTACAGAGCCAACAGACCATCATTTTTTGCGGTGACAATATACCATCTTTATATCGTGAGCTATATGCTTATTGTTCCTCTAATCTTACAGTATAACTCAAAAACACCCAAAAAATCCTGAATTGACTCGAGCTTGTGTTCAGCAAGCTTCCGTTTTTGCATTGACTCAAGATGTATCATATTTTGTGGCTGCTGTTGTGCTTGTCAAGGCTTTCTCGCAAACTTCCTGGAAGTCTTAACCATCACCTGTTGAATTTCAGGGAAGCTAGGGGAAAGATCAACACTGATGTGCAACTTTTCAAAACTGACAAATTGCTAAATTTTTTTCCTTTTTGGGGCAAAAAGAGCGTGGAATTACTAGTTTTTTCTGCTCATAAGATCAATGATACTTAGCTAAAGAAGCTTACATCAATGCAGGCTTAGTTGATTACTGTGTTCCTGCTGGCGAAGCTCATTCAAAGGCACTTGCAGTTGCTCAGGATATCTGTCAGAAGGTATCTCCCTAGCAAAACCTTTTTATGCTTGAAATGATACCTAAAACCAAAGCTATGCGCTATTGAATTTCTATATATGAACGGTCTTGACTGATTTTCTAGATTATTTCTTTTGTCATTTTCTTCTTTTGAAGTTGCCTAAAATTTGGAAGTTGAAACAGAGAAATTTTTTTTGCTCAATTGTATGTAGTTATCTTTTACATGATGTTTGTTATGTAATTACAATAAATAAGAAAATAATTAAGAATTAATATTTAAAAAAATTTATATTTGATTTATGATATTTAATTATATTATTATATTTGTAGGATTTGGATAGGGCAGTAGAATACCTAATTTTAGACTTTCATTTCTAATGAGAATTGCATTCTCAAATTTGCTTTCTCTATCTCTCTGTCCTTTCTCTTTTCCCTCTCTTTCCAATATAAATTCTATAACAGTGGAGCCATCCTTCCTCAGACCAAAGGGGATGGGTTTTGATATGGAGCAACTTCAAATTATGGCATGACAGCTAGAAGAATTAAAGGTTATATACTACATGAGACAATACCCTTCTTGAAGGAAGTAGCTTCCTTAAGGGTGGACTTGGAGGTTATAAAGGAAGCACATAAAATGCAAGAAGCTTTAGTCGATCAAGAAGAAGATGGGCCTTCCTTACCATCAACACAAGATATGCATCCAGTGGTGCAAGAAGGTTCTATCATTCAAAAGAATGCTGGGTCTCTTCAGCCAACACTCGAAAATAATGTGACAATTTTATCAAGGACAAAAAATGCTAGGTAGTTGATAGTTATGGCAACTTAGGTTCCTTCTATCATGGGTCCCAAGATTCTTTTGTAGCTAGTGGTTATAGTCTATCATCCATTCTAAGTTTTTAATTAATGCTTATTCTCCAATCCAAGTCACCATTAACCTTTGCTTTGCCTATTAGGAATAAGGATGCTTTGGGATCTAGTTTGATACAATTTTCCATATACTTCGTCATTGAGGGCAACGGTCTTTTGAGGAGGGTTATTATTATGTAATTATAATAAATAAGAAAATAATTAAGAATTAGTTAGGATTTAAATTGATTTATGTATGATTTATGATTTAAATAGGATTTAGATAAGATTTTATATTTAATTATATTATTATATTAATAGGATTTGGATAGATTAGGATATATTATAGGAGAATAATGCCTATAAATAAAAGGAGACTTTCATTTCCAAAGAGAATTGCATATTCAAATTTTCTCTCTCTGTCTCTCTGTATTCTTTCTCTCTCTTTCCCCCATCCTTTTCTCTCTCTTTCCAATATAAATTCTATAACAAATATGCAATTCTCTCTGGAAATCAAAGTCTAAAATTTGGTACTCTACTATCTCTTATTTATTGGCATTATTCTCCTATGAATATATATCCTGATCTATGATGATGATAATAATATAATTAAATGTCAAATCCTATTTAAATCATAAATCATATATAAGTCTATTTAAATGCTAATTCTTAATTATTTTCTTATTCATTATAATCACATAACAATACCCCTCCCCCAAAAAACCCAGGTCAAGTACACAAAATTGTATCAAAATAGACCTCCAAAGCATCCCAATTAAATTTCCCCTAAACTAGGTCAGAACAAGAGCGATGCTAACAAGGAAGAAACGAAGATATATGTCCTCATTAACAAAGCAAAGGCTGATGGTGATTGAGATTAGAGAATAGGCATTAATAGAGAACTTAAAACAGATAATGAATAAAGTACAACTACTAGCTATAAAAGAATCTTGGGACCCCTGATTGAAGGAATGAGTCGACATAACGATGAAGTACTTGGTATTCTTGGTCCTTCATAAGATTGTTACATTCTTTTCTGGGCGTTAGGTTGAATGAGACCCAACATTTTCTTGAACGATAGAATCTTCTTGCCTCATCAGATACATATCCAGGGTTACTAATAAGGAAGACCCATCCTTGTTAATTGCTTCAAGTTTATTGTACTTTATGTGCCCTTTTTATAGCCTCCAAGTCCTCTTGCAAGGAAGCTATCTCCTTCTTGAAGAAGGGTAGTTCTTTATTCAAGAAGAAATTGTTTCACGCAATATAAACTTTATTATTTCTTCTTGTCATTCAATACTATAAAGTTGCTCCATATCAAAATCTATCCACTTTAGATTAGGGAAGGATGGCTTTGATACCATTATTACAGAATTTATATTGGAAGAGAGAGAAAGGAAACTGAGAGATAGAAATAGAATTTATATTGAAAAGAGAGAAAAGGGAAATAGAGAGATAGAAAGAGCAAATTTGAACCTACAATTCTCATTGAAAATTAAAGTCTGAAGTTAGGTACTCTATTGTTTCTTATTTATAAGCATTATTCTCCCAAATATATACATATATATATGTATATATGTATATATGTATCCAAATCCTACTAATATAATAATAATATGATTAAATATCAAATCATATCTAAATCAATTTAAATACTAATTAATTCTTAATTATTTTCTTATTTATTATAATTATATAACATTGTTTCTTTCTTCCTCCAACTTGTGTTGCCCGCCAAGACAAAATCTCCTGAGATTGAGAGCAGGCTCTGGTTCTCAGATTGTCATCTTGCATGATTTGATTTCAGACCCTTTTGACACTTATCAACTCAGTAAAGAATATCTGTTGGTCTCATCGTAGGGTCTAGCAAAACCTGTGACACATGACGAGCAATTATAAAGTCAAAATGATACTTCTATTCGAGAAATAACAGCTTTTATCTTTGATATCTTATAACTGAATGCTCCATAACCGTAAATTCTCTCGGCAGGGTCCTATTGCAATTAGGATGGCTAAAAGAGCCATTAATGAGGGAATAGAAACTGATCTGACAACAGGTTTGGCTTTAGAAGAAGGATGCTATGATGAGGTGCTGAATACCAAAGATCGTTTGGAAGGTTTGGCTGCATTTGCTGAGAAGCGGAAACCAAAGTATACTGGTGAGTAAAAGGATCCATTATTCCACTGCCACTTCTGGCCTGCATATTGGAATGAACAGGACGTAAACCTTGGTGATCATGAGTAGTTTGAGATACTCAGTGAGTGAGTGTGAATGACGTGAGAGCATGCAGCTTTTTTGTTCTCTCTGTATGTCTCTATGGTTAGGGTGTTTAGAGGAAAGTAATTTACCAAATAAAAGCGGTGTTCTGGGGCTGGTTAGAGGAAAGCTTCAAGCATGATTGTAAGGCTGGTTGTGTGAAACATGAGATAAATGAAAATAATACAAGAGAAACGGGTTTATGTTATTTGAAATGGAAATTGATTGATACATGGCATGAGAAAGTCTGTTAATATAGCCACATTTCAGGTTAAATATGGTTCCCACTTGCGCAGCTCATGTCAAACTTTCACACAAGATTTGTAAAGGGCTGGCTTACAATTTGGTTGGTTTCATTTCGAAAGCAATCAAAATTATGATTTTTGTGATTTATAACAAGAAACCACAAAAGTATATTATTGATTAGGCACCTTGATCCTGAAAAACTCAAAGCGATTTAATTCCTAGTCGAGTGATGTTTTGCTGTCCGCTTATTGCTTTCACTAAATGGAGAGCATCTAGTGTGTCTAATATGACGTTTCTTCAAAAGTAAAATTCTGGACAAATGATTCTCTAGGTGGCAATTTTTTATGTGTCTTTGCTTAAACAACACATGGAGTTAATCATCCATGTGCAGGTGCGCAGCTTTATGTTATTTGTTTTGAATAAATATTGAAATTATTCCTTATAATCTTATATGTAAGTTACTTTTAAAAAAGAATTTATGGTCTTTTATTTAAATTTATTTTGCATAAAAAAATAGATCATTAATTACTTTCTCTCAAGTTTATCTTTTTTAAGTTTCTATTAGTAGATTAAAATGTTACACACAAGAGAGAATGCACATTTAAAAATGATGTATTTAATAAAAGAAAATTGATAAATTTATTATTTTAAGATAATATTAATAATGTAACTATTTATTTTTCGTCCTGTGAAATTGTTAAAAGTGATTTATGTATAAAATTGAACAAAATACATAAACAAAAAACAGCTTTGAGGTTACAAAGTTGCAACAGTCTTCCCTTATCATCGACCACCCTAAACAGAATCTGCAGATATCTTTGAAGATAATATTTAAAACACAAACCGTGGGTAGATATTTCTTTAACTTTTAATTTGTTACTTCTAAAAATTAATAATAAAATACATGTAATTGAAAGCACTAAACGCTATTCATGGCATATTTTAAGGGCTCATAACAGAAGATGGTGAAAAGTATCCTTTTAAGCAACTGAGGATGAAAAACCTTTGAAAATTCAATCCTCTGACCATTTGTGTGCGTATGAATGGGTAGAATAGAACATGGTTTGAATTTTCCAGATAATGTAAATCACAGTCAATCAACATCTGTGAGAGCTCAACTTGCACTTGAAGAGATAGACAACTGAGGTTGACCGATTTAATTACAGTATGCACGTGTATTTGACAATTTTGTGCCGTGTGGACGTGTGGTCTTTGATTTTGTTAATGTGAAAGAAACCAAATAGGCAAATACTCCCTCTTCCTCAATTTATAAAATATTTAAAAAAAATTAATATCTTAAAATATAAAACACTTTTTTAACAGCTTATAGTTAGATATCTTTTATTGAAGACAATTCAGTTAAGTATTAAATTAGAGTACTTCTCTTAATAAAAATTTAAAAATAAAAATAAAATTTTATCAATAATATTTTTTATATATTCTCTTTAAAAAATTTTAACAAATAGAGTATTAAATAAAAAATATTTTTAAAATTTTATATTTTTATTTTAAAAAAATAAAATTAATCGCCATGAGTTAATTAATGGGCCAGTTTCTAGATTGATGAAAAGAATCTCATTAAAAGCAAGATGGAGGTGGTTGCAGTTTCAAACGTACAGCTTTCCAATACAAGGGGTCAAGTGGACTGCTTGAAAGCATAACCCTCATGTGTTAGTGGGTAACTATTAATCTAATAATAAAAGATTGCATCAATGATTAATTTCTGTCAAGAAAAATTTTCAATTAGCATGATGACTACTGGGAAAAAAAGTAATCCCTTTATCTTAAATTATAAAATATTTTTAAATAAAATTTTACATACTAATAAATATTATTAAATAAACTTAACAACCTCATTTTTTTAAAATAAAAATACAAACTTTTAAAAACACCCATCATTTAATATATTAAAAAGAAAAGAGACAAAAATTAATTATAAAGAGAGAAAGGGTAATATTAGAATTAGTGCATTTAATGAAACCTTAATCTATTTTAAGTGTCTTATATTTTGAGAAGAAAAAATTTCTTCAAATGTACCCTATAATTTGGGATGGAGGGAGTATTTATTATTAATATTTTTTCTTAATTTTAAAGTAATATTAATATTTTTGTCGTTTTACTCTTGAAATAAATTACTATTTATTATTGTAACATTTTGGAATTAGAAGCATTAAATGAGGGGCTAATTTGATAGATTATATCATACATATTTATTGCATTTTTAATCCGTACAATAACCTTAAAATTTAAATCCTAATTAAGGAACAATATGAAATGATTTGTTAAAAAAAAAAAAAAAGCATGATGATTGGTAGAAGTATTCCATTTTTTCTTGTCCTTATTTATTTATTAACTATTACTCCTATTGCCCCGAACTAACTGTATGGTGTTTAAAAACATAAAAAAAAAATCAATAATTTAAATAGTAAAAAATTATTATATTTAATTAAGAAATTCTTCATTTTACAAAATTAAAAATGAATAAAAGAAAAATTATGAAAATTTAAATTGAAAATTATTTTAAAATAACATATACTTATTTAAAATAAAAATTAATTAAAAAACCGTACAATTACCTACAAATATGATCTATAATAATATTTTGAAAGGAATAAATGAATGGCAAGTGACCGAGGGAAGGTTGAAAATTAAATGTCAAAGTTTTGAAGTCAAATATTAGGGGCAGGGTGATGTGTGAAAGGCTTACGTGCTGTGCCTTTAGGTATAGCCATTCTCCCCAATCTTTTTTTTTTTTAAGTTTAAAAGAAATTATTGGATCAAAAAAATAACAGTTAAGCTCTTGATAAATTTTCTTGCAAAATAAATTGTAAATATTAATTTAAATAATTATAAATAAAAAATTTTATTATAATTTAAGAGTTACAGCTGATACTTAAATATTTATTTACAATTAAAACTCTTAAATTTGTAATAATTTAAATTGATAGTTTTAATTTATTTTTAAAAAAATTATTAAAAAGTTTAATTGTCATTAATTCAATGTCTTAAAATATAACTAGCATTCTCTCAAAGAGAATTGAAGGTATTCTCTCCTTGGAGGTCATGGAAAGACAAGCTTTCGCGACTTCATTGGCAATTGCCAATTTGCCACCTATTCGAAATCCTATCCGTCGTTGTTCTTTCATATCTTAAAAAAAAAATAAAAAATAAAAAATAAAAATAAAAAAACTTGAATAAAATTTTTGTATTAATTTAAAGAAAATTAATCATTTACTTATGATAACTTTGATTTGATGGTAACTTATTTCTTACGCCTTGATATATAAAATCTTTTTAATCAAATTATGCGTACTAATAAAAGTTTGCTCTTAGATGGTAATTTATTCCCTTTGTTCCTATATTTTTTTATTATAAAATATTAGATGAAAGGTCATTTTTACCCTTCAATTTTTATCCAGGTAGATAGATACCTTGAATTGAAACATTTTATAATAAAAAAATATTAAAAATGGGACATCAATAATGGTAATGGTGTTCAATTTTGGCAAGAAAAGTGGCTGGATAATAAAGACACTTGCTTGATCATTGTATTGAACCTATCCCCGCAAACATGATGAAAATGAAAATAATAGATGCTCTGAATAGTAAAGGGGAATGGAACATAACTTTATTATCTAGATTCTTGGATGATCATGCCATCAAACTTATTATTGGACGTCATCCCCCAAGTGAGATTGATGGGCCACACAGATTAGGATGGAGCTTGACTTCAAATAAGAGTTTCACTGTTTGCTCAATGTTTGAAGCGCTTAGTGAGGAACCCAGGGGAGTTTATGACACAATTTGGGATCTGATATGGAAATGGAAAGGCTCACAACTTATTCAGGTTTTTATGTGGCTTGTTATGCATGAGAGACTCATGACTGCTCAACGAAGAAGCAAGATCTTTGGTGTCTCGAAGTGTTGTGATTATTGTCCAAATGCTATAGAGGATATTCTCCATGTGACTCATGATTGCGATAAGGCGAAGTAAGTTTGGAATGAGATCCTCAAGCCAGGTTTTATGCACCAATTCTTCGAACTTAACAAATATGATTGGTTTAGAGGGAATTTGCAAGACACTAAAATGCACAAAGATTCTGCCTAGGATGTGATCTTTACAGTTACACTATGGAGCCTGTGGAAGGCTAGGAATGATTGAATCTTCAATGGAAAAGATATCACTATAGGTAGTTTTCTAGCAAGGATTTATAGCCTTGCTAACTCGATGACATCTAGCTTTCAACAGGATATTAGAAATACAATTAAACATAGATCCGCTCACGAATGCTAGGAAGAACCCCCCAACTAGATGGATCAAGATGAATATTGATGGTGTTTCTAAAAGGAATCCAGGCCTTGCGAGTTTTGGGGGAATCATTTGCAACTAAAAAGGAGTTTGGATAGTTGGGTTCGTGTGCAACACAGGAATATGCTTAGCTAAGGATGCAGAATTTGAGAGCTTCTTTTATGGAATAAAGGTGGCATGCCAACTAAATCTCACCAACCTCATCATTGAAAGTGATTCACGTTCAGTGGTGAAAGACTACAAGTTGGTTGCAAAAGGTAGGGAACACCAACATTGGCAAATGCATCATACCATGCAAATTATCACTGAAGAGTGGCAAGTGAAAATGAAACATGTTTTTAGAGAAAGAAACTTGTGCGCTAATTGGTTGGCCAAATATGGTTTTAACCAAGATTATGGGGGTGAAGTCTTAAGGGAACTCCTAGGAGGAGTCAATGAGTAGATCCAACGAGATGTAAGGGATTTGATGGACTCCAGTTTATTTTAATGTTAAACAAAGTTTCCATGTGAGCCCCATTTCTTATCAAAAAATATTAAAAAAAAGTAATGTAAGATTTACTAATGATGAAGTAACAAAAAGTTAACGTCAGAATGATAGGGAAGAATCTTTAACATTAAGGGACATTATTGATCAATAATTGAATTTAGAGCGCCCAATAACCCTTTAGGTAAAGTTAAAAAGTAAAAAAT